TATTTTTCATGTTTTCTTTGCCTCACTACATCTGTGTAACTAAACAGCACAATGCTAGATTATTTGTTTTGGTTTAATTTGACTTAGTAACATGCTTTTTCTTTAATAAAATAAAGATTATAAAACTCATTTGGTTTCCTGAACAGTACACTTGTCATAGGGTCATCTGAGAGAGCTGCCTCGGCCTAGCTTACTTAGAGTCCTGTCAGTGGTGCAAGTTAAGTCTAAGGACTACAAAGCCCACTTGACCTTTTCACAATAATATCTGAGAGTACTAGGGTGTTCTTATGTGGGCAGACTTGTGAGAAGGAGTGTTGTAGCATGGCTGGCTGGATTGGACTCTTTCAGCTCATTTTAGCATGTGCAAACTCCTGATTGCTCTCTGTCCAAGCGTACACGCGTGTTTTCGAACCCGTGTTCGTTGCAGCCGTCTCGCGAGGAGAGGCTGGCCTCCGGGAGTGCCAGCGCCAGCGCTTCCGGCGTTTCTGCTACGAGGAGGCCAAGGGGCCCCGAGAAGCTTGTGGTCAACTCCGTGACTTGTGCCACCGGTGGCTGAAGCCGGAGAGACGCAACAAGGAACAGATCCTGGAGCTGGTGATCCTGGAGCAGTTCCTGGCCATCTTGCCCTGGGAAATGCAGGGTTGGGTTAAAGAAGATGGGCCGGAGACCTGCGGGGAGGCAGTGGCTTTGGCAGAGGAGTTCCTGCAGAGGCAGCAAGAGGAAGAGAGCCAGCAGGAGGAGGTGAGCCGAGGTCGGAGCAGGGTCTCTGTCGCACATCATCTGGTTCCCTTCCAGGCCTTCCCTGCAGCCTTGGCCTGGGACCTCCTGACCCCCCAAAAAACCCACACTCTGACATGGAGTGGTCATCCCTTTCCTTAAAAATAGAGTAAAATCCAGGATCTCGATAATCTAAATAAAAGTCTTAAGTGAAGCAGCTTCCTATGGAGTCAGAGCGATGGGTCCATCTTGCTGAGCAGCTGTCACGTTCCCGCCTGACCCTCGGTTCTTTCACCATGCTGCGTGTCGTTCAGCTGCCACCAGCGGATTACATCCATGTTAGTCATTGTTAATGACAGAGGTCCAGGCAACGTATCATTTAAGAACCAAGTAGGCATCGTTTATGGCAGACCTGGGCAAAGTGCGGGCCTCCAGATCTTGCTGAACTACAAATCCCAACATTCCTCACTGTGTGGGCTAGGCCCAACTCTCCTCACACTATTGGCTGTGTGGGCTAGGAATTATGGGAGTTGCAGTTCAACAACATCTGGAGGGCCACATTTTGCCCACCCCTGGTTTATGGTTACAGGTGATAACAGTCCAGTCCAGGTCATTGACTCTCAGCTAAGCAACCTTCTCTCTCTACTCTCAACCGTCTACTCTCACTCCCACGCTCTCTCCTTTTCTTCATCCCACTTAACTCCGCCCCTCACCCACTCCTATTGGTGCATGCAAATCTCCACATAAATATTAATGAGCATGGATGAATGCGACAGTTGCCCACCTCTACAACAGGGTTGGACAAAGTTCAGAATGTGGGTTCCGTGCAACCCCGTGTGAGCATTTTGTGGCCCCTAGACCACCGCCAAAGGCTCTCAGTATCCCCACACATCCCCTAATTTTTTTTAAGTTGTTGCTCATAAATGCCCCTTGCAACCTTCAGGAATGTGGGGATGGTTTGGTTATATAGGAGGATCTGCAGGGACTCAGATTCCACTCACCCACCCGCAAATGTTGGAAATTGTGGAGATAGATAGATAAATAGATCCTTTTAAGGAGAAAGGCAGGATAAAATATTATAAAACAAACACTATATCTATATCATCTATCTCAGGATACTGTATAAGGAAACTGGCCACTAGAGACCATGCCATGTATTCTTCACTAAGCAATATTCGTAGCGTGGACTCTGTCTCCCTTTAATGGCTGGATGTGGTAATATGTGTGAAAATAGTTTTTTCTGGATTTTTTCATTTTAATAGTTATATTTAATAAATCAATGAGTCAGTGAATACTGAATAAGTGAATCAGTGGATACTGATCCAGTGAATAAGAGGGTCCTAATGTATTTTCAGACCAATGGATAAGTAACATTCTGGGTACTGATCCCGTGCAATTTAAGGGCCCTCATATTTCCACGCTACTTTAAAAATATTTTTAAATGGGCCACAGAGGACAAGGTAAGACTTTTAGAAAAAGAACAGCTTAACATTTTAAGCTTAATTTTTAAAAAAAAAATTTAAGGGGGCTTTTCAATAGACAAAAAGAAAAACAGCAGCAACAAATTAAAAACATGCAAAGTAGCTTCTTAAACCACTCCCTTCCCCCTTTCTTTGAGCCAACCCCACCCCACCCATTGAGACTGCAGTCTTTGGGCTGCTTGATATTCTGAAATATTGCCCTTAATCCCACTGATACAAAGCATCCCATAGTTAAGCAACGTGCAGCCCCTGATATTGTTGGACTGTATACAACTCCTGCAGTTCTCATCAGCACAGCCAATGTGGAGGAAAGTATTTGAGTTGAATAACATCTTGGAGAGCCATGCCTTGCTGACCTTTGGCCTGCTCTATCTCGGGTGGAGAACTTCTTCCAAACAGAGGACCAAATTCAGATTGGGAGAAGGTATTGAGAGGATCACTTTCCAATACGGGTTTGGCAAGCGAAAGGCGACAGCACCCGGATACAAAAAAAAAATCAAATGTATTTTGGCTTACAATAGGACTGTGGTATCCATGGGAAATCAGTGCCAACACCCCGTGGATGCTGAAAAACATGGAAATAGTGAACACTATATGTATATTGCATGTCTCTAGTGGCCAGTTCTGGTAACTGAACCCTGGAAATAAATAGGTATTTTTCCATGTATAAGATGCCCCCATGTATAAGACACCCCCCTTTTCTAATCTTAGCAAGTGTAGGGGGAAAGGGGTCAAAGCGCTGCAGGGTCACTTTGATCCCTGCTTTCCCCTCCACTTGTTTTTGGTGTCTCTCGGCTTACTTCCGTGTATAAGACAGTCCTCAATTTTTATTCTAAAAGATTTTAGACAAAAGTATCGTTTTATACATGGAAAAATGTGGTATTTCTGGGGGGGGTTATTTAGCATTTTCAGCCAGTGGATAAGTGAATCAGTGGCTACTGATCCTGCAGATAAGAGGTTCCTACTGTGATTGATTTACTATCTGTCTGTCAAGAAGGGTTAAGAAAGGCCTTTCAACATTATAGAATGGATAGAAAAGCTGGGAAGCAACCAAACTATTAATTATGTCATGGAGAGTAAGTGTGGGGTTTTTTGGAGAAGCCCAGAGGCCTGGATTGAGGCTTCCAAAGGAGAGACAGAGAAGGTCTTCTCCATTTTGGATATGTTCTTGTTGTTATGTGTGGTCAAGTTGCCTCTATCTTACGGCAACCCTATGAATGATTGGCCTCGAAAATGCCCAGTCCTCAATAGCCCTGCTCGGCTTTTGTACACTCAAGCCTGTGGCTTCCTTTAAGGACTCAGTCTGTCTCATGTTTGGATCTTCCTCTTTCCCTGCTGCCCTCAACTTTTATTTAGAGAGGTTGGGAATCAAACCTGGAAACTTTAGCTAAGATCCTCTGTCCATGAGCTACAGTCCTTCAAAGGGAGAAGGAAGCTGTCATCATTATACTGTAGTTACAAAGTAATTCTTAGTTTTCCATTATACAAGCACAACTAAGCCAATTCTTCATAATTACTTTTTAAAAAGCCATGAAATTTTTTTGATCCAGCAGCGGAGTATAAAAAGAGTGACATTATCTCTTGTTAAACTACAGCTTAAAAAATGTAGTTATCCCAAGCCAAGCAAAATTTTATACCTCACAGCCCCATCAAGGCCCTCCATTTTCAATTTTCTTTTGCGTTTTCTTAATTTTTACGTAGTCCACAAGCCCTAGGAGGCCAACAGGACATAAAATTGGCTCACAGACTCCTCACAGTTACCAACCCCTAAGCTATACCTTTGTTATTGGAAACAAGGAAATTAGTTACAATTCCCTTGTTATTATTAGGGGAGGATTCCTATAACATGTCACATTTCTCTGCAACCTATCCTTGAACCCACAAGCAATTTTAAACATGTTTGCGAGTAATCTGGACTTTCTCACCAAATTGTTCTTAAACATGTCCAAACCCATTTATAATGGGTGCAGAAAAAATATGACATGTCATAGAAATCCTCCCCCTACTTTTTTATACATAGCAGCTTTCCTGCCCTTGTACCCACCAAGCAGAGTCTCTTGGCTACAGGGCTTGGACAGTTTATCTTCTCAGCCTACAACACCCAGAATCCCCTCATCAACTAGAGTCACTGGCCTTTTGAAGCTCTAGACTGAACCCACCTTCTCGCCTGTAGCCTCCATCTTCTCCACTTGGTTTCCTGCCCTGACTATGGAAACCCTGTTGCTGTTTCAGGCCCAGACGTTGTTGAAAGAAGAAGAGTCGATGTCCCCCACAAAGGAGCCGATTCTGCTGGATTTGCAGCAAGTGCAAGTGAAAAGTGAATCTGAGCAAGAGGACAAGAGAGAAGAGAATGGCTTCCGTGGTAAGGGAGGGGCATACATGCGTTAAGTTCCAGGCCGACCCTACCATCGGGCTAGGGCATGAGGGAACGTGGTAAGTGGGGGGGCATACGTACATGCGTTAAGTTCCAGGCCGGCCCTACCATCGGGCTAGGGCATGAGGGAACACGTGGCCCTGTAAATGCTGCAGGATCACCACTCCAATATTATTTCCTCATTGGCCGTGCTGGCTAGGGCCAATGAGGGGTGCAGGCCAACGCCATCTCGAGGGCCACCGGTTCCCAACCCCTGACTTAGGCAGAGTAAGGGGATCACCCCAATTCATAGATGCTGGGTTGAGGAAGAAGGACTGGCAGCCCTCACAGATGTATTTCTTGAATTCCCCTTCTGTAATTTTAAAATATTTCCCAAAGAGCCTGGCTTCTGCTCCTTCAGCTAGTCTCCCACCCTTGGGTCCTGCCACTCACCTCACTGATGGATGGATTGACTTCATTTAAACCCCAACTTTCTCCCTCTCAGGGCCCAAGGCGACTTACCGCCCAGATTTAAACCACTGATGCAACTGAGGGCCACATCCTCTCCCACAAAATTACTATAAAATCCCTAGGAAAAGCTGATCACATGCAATTAAATACTAAACGAAGAGTCGAACAGCCGTAGAAAACCAATGGCAGCAAAAAGGAGAACCCTAACCGGCCTTAAATTGTGGAGCTGCCAATCGGGTTGCCTTCTGAGTGTCATATCACGGCGCAGCAAAAAGGCGTGTGATCTTGTATTTTACCTCAGGCGGGAAGAACTCTTGGGCTGGGCTGACTGAAGGCTAAGACCTTTCTCTTCAGGCAAGCCTTCCCTCAGGGACTGCCCACCTGAATGTGATTTTTAGATGGATTGTTATGCTTTACTGCTTTAACTGGGTTTTTAGTACTACTTCTGTTCACCATTTTGAAGAGTGGTGTTGGTTTTCCCCTTCTTAACATTTGTATACTTTTTTTAAAAAGCATTAATATTGCCTTTTAATGGTGTAAGGTGCCTTATGTCCTTTTTAAGGAGGAAGGTGAGGTAATGAATCAATCAATCAGTCAGTCAATCGCTCAATGAATCAATGAATGAAAACAAACATGGCAGAAGGTCAACTGCCTGAGGGACCTTCCCTCAATTGTCCCCGCCAGCAGCCATTCTAGGAAATTGCAGCAAAGGGAGGTGAGATTGAAAGCAAGGACATTCCACCAGCCTTGCTTGAAAGCATCTTTGCTTTTACTTTTCCTCTTCCCTCCTCATATTTTTTTCCTTTTGTATCAGCTCCTTTAAAAATGGCTATTTTGTGCAATCTGCTTTTAATAAGACAAAATAGGAAATAGAAAGGCCAGTCCTTCCCCATTTCCTTGGAAACAGTCCACATCTATTGTGAGTCAAGTAGATCTGTGTCCCGTTTGTCTTTTCCAGGTGAAATTCAAAGATTCGGGGGAAACGAGGAGCCACCTTCTGTGGGGAATCTGAGGCCAGCCAAGTTTCTCAGGACAATCCTTGGAAAAGCCAAAAACATTTCCTGGGATCCAAAGCCAGGACCGACTTCCAGGAAGAAGCGTGGGACAAAGGAGGCCCAGGAAAGCGGTCCGGTTGCAAAAGAAAGTGCCTCCGTTCCAAGAGGAGGGAAGGGAGACCCAGACAATGACCCAGCGAGGCCTGAATCACTGAAGTGGGAACCCCGTGAGGAGGATAAAGATGATTTTGGTTATGGCTCTGACTTCTTAATCGATGCTGAAGGCAAAACTCATAAACCTGTAGACTTCAAGGAAATGTCCAGTCAGAGCTCGAACCTGATAAAACAGCCAAGCGTCCCCACAGGCGACAAGATGTGTAGCTGTTCAAACTGTGGGAAAAGCACCCGTTTCGTTTTAAGCCCCGTCAGGCACGATCTGACTCTTGCTGAGGAGGAACTTGATGAATGCTCTGGCTGTGGGAAAAACATTATTTATGGTTCTGATCTTCTTAAAAAGGAAAGGATCCATCTAGGAGATAAACCGAGACAGGAGCCCTTCAAATGTGGGGAAACGGTCCATCAGAACAGCAGCTCTCCTCCCTCAGAAAAGAGAGCCGAGATGGGAGAGAAGCCTCACAAATGCCCAGCTTGTGGGAAAAGTTTCAGTAAGAGGTGCGCCCTTCGTTGCCACAAGAGGATTCACACAGGGGAGAGACCCTACACGTGCGCAGAATGCGGGAAGAGCTTCAGCCGGAAATCTAGCCTTCTACTGCACGTGAGGACCCATTCTGGAGTCAAGCCTTTCCAGTGTTCTGAATGTGGGAAAAGTTTCTTCCGTAGCTCAGACCTCATGAGGCACGAGATTACCCACACGGGAGAGAAACCGTACACGTGTTCCAAATGTGGGAGGTCCTTCAGCCAGAGCTCGACGCTCATCGCCCACGAGAGGACCCACACGGGCGAGAAACCCTACAAATGCTCCATCTGTGGGAGGAGCTTCGGGCATCACTCGAGCCTTATCAAACACGAGAGGGCCCACACGGGAGAGAAGCCCTACGTCTGCCCGGCCTGTGGTAGAGGCTTCAGTCAGGGCTTGGGACTCACGTTGCACATGAGGACGCACACGGGAGAGAGGCCTTTTCAGTGCTTGGCTTGTGGGAAAAGCTACAGTCAGAGGTCCAAGCTGAACAGGCACGAGAAAGTCCATGTGAAGGAAAAACTTGTCCAGTGGAGTAAATCCTCCAGCATTCTCTGATGCACAATTATGCAGAATTAACCCCATGAAACTCCAAGGAATTTAATCCCGCATAAAAGATTCTGTTGTATTTCAGTTTTAGTTTAGATTGAGTGAAACTCAATCAGTTAAATCTGTGTAGGACTCAAATAGTTGTTGTTAAGGGAGAGAGAACCGTACCTTTCTTTTTGAATGCAGTGCATTCATAAAGCTGCAACTGGCCCCCTTCTAGGGGAGGTGGAAGGGAGGGGGATGTCTGCCACATGTCCTTTCCAGAGATACTTGTATTAAACACCTTTTAAGAGTGTTGCATGGAGATGCTTTTTTCAGTTGGATAATTTTTTTTCGTAGAATCATAGAAATCACAGAAAAGTGAAGTTGGAAGGGGCCTACAAGGCCATCCAGTCCAACCCCCTGCTCAAGGCAGGAATCCAAATCAAAGCAGATCTGTCAGGTGATTATCTAAGCTTTTCTTGAATGCCTCCAGTGTTGGAGCACTCACCAACTCCCGAGGTCACTGGTTTTGCTGTCGTCGTACTGCTCTAACAGTTAGGAAGTTTTTCCTGATTCTCAACCGAAATCTGTCTTCCTTTAACTTGAGCCTGTTGTTGCGTGTCCTGCACTTTGGGATGATCGAGAACAGATCTTGCCCTTCCTCTGTATGACAGCCTCTCAAATATATGAAAAGTGCTAACATATCACATCATTTAGTCGTTAAGTCATGTCACGAAGAGTCGGACACGACTTAACGACTAAACAACAACAATCATATAATACCTGGAGATTTGAACTCGTTCAAGGCGGTAAGGTATTCCTTGACTTTTTGTTTATCTATCTCCAGCTGCAATCCTGCCCCCCCTCCTTGCACTTCCAATTTGTTTTTTTTATAATATATTTTTTATTTTAACTATAACATAAACATAAAATACACAAACCAAAATACAATTTATCTGTGTTCCCCACCACCATAGTCTGGTGTTTGGAAGTTCATAGTCTGTCTTATGGGAAAAGACGGAACTAAAATAATAATTGAGCCCCTCTGCCTTTTCTTTGTCCTCTGTTATCATTTTTCCATCTCCATTGCGGAGCTGGGCCGCTCTGTCTTTTATTTGTCTTTTGCGACTCACATACCTGAAGAATGCTTTTTTATTGCTTTTAGTGTCTCTAGCTGACCTCAGCTCATTCTTATTTTCTAGTGATCTGACTGAGTAAAAAGTACAGTCTGATTCCTGTCTACTCAGATGTAAGATCTGCAAGGTCAGTGGGCTTAGGTCTCTTCTAGGTGGAGTGTTTGCAAGGTATTGTATTCTGCATTATTATTGTGATTTTTCTCACAATCCATGAGATATTCCTCTTAACTCCGTTAATGCAGTGCTTTTCCCCATGACTTTCTGTTCTATATCATCCCTTCTGAAAGCATGGTTTATGTTTAGTGTCACTTTGTACCGAGTTTAGTACTATGGCACTTCCCATTCAAATTTCATTGCTGAGACCAACAGTAAGTCACAACTAGAGTAGGCTGACTGAATCAGTGGAGTTTTGGTGAGTCAACATAGTAATCATAGGAAAGTGAAGTTGGAAGGGGCCTACAAGGCCATCAAGTAATGATGGGCTCAAGCTTATAGGAAGCCAGATTTAGGCTGAACATCAGGGGGAAAAACTTCTTAACTGTTAGAGCAGTACGACAATTATCTTGGGAGGTGGTGAGTGCTCCAGTGCTGGAGAAATTCAAGGGGAAATTGGACAACCATCTACTAGACGTGATTTGATTTGGATTCCTGCGTTGAGCAGGGGTTGGGCCCTTTCCAACTGCATTATTCAACTATTCTAACACCTATGTGAGTTCTGTTAATTCAACAAGTATGCTCCAGTTGTGACTCCCTACTGGGCTTTAGAGGAGGTCTGTGAGTAACAAAAGCATCTGGGCTGTGAGCTTTTAGTCACCACAAGATAAACACCCACACCAAGGAGCTTCAGCAAGGGAGTGAATGGAGAAGGGGAGAGAGAAAGAATCAAGAAGTATTTTGATATCATGGTAAGCCATATATGTACATCCACAGTCACACAGCATTACATATAGATTACACTTGATACATCTTACATGAATGAACAGCATGAATAATTGTACTTGTCACAGTGGGCTGGATAACTCAGTGGTTTAAGTATTTGGCTGCAGAGCCAGAGGCTGGGAGTTTGATCCCTATTATGCCTTATGTAAATAGAGTCAGCCTGTGTAGCCTTGGGCAAGCTGCACAGTCCCGAGAAAAAGGGAAGAGTAAGTCACTTCTGTATATTCTCTCCCTGGAAAACCCTGATTTATGTTGACTGTGAAAAAGGGTTGCCATGATTCAGGACTAACTTGACAGCACATGATGATAATTATACTTTTTGCACTGAATGTTACATCTCTTATTACCAACGTATTTCATCATAAAGGCATTCTTGCTTTAAATTATTTCCTTTGCACCAGCAACTTCCACAGATCTTTCCAAAGAAGTTATTACTAGTTTGGCAACATTAGTATTGACATAATAATTTTACATTTAATGGAGAGCCCTACTTACAGTTGCAAAGATTCAGCAGTGGAAGAAAGACTTCTGAAAGAGGCCAGTGACAAACCTCTTAGATGGTGGCATCGCACTGATGACATCTTTACTGAATATCTTTACTTACAGGCTGGAAGGCAAGGAGCACCCAGCTCAAGTCTCCCAGTCCAAGGCTCTAACCTACATGTGTCCAACTCAAGGCGCGTGGGCCAAATCCGGCCCGCTGGGCCGTTTCATGCGGCCCTCGCAGTGTTGCCTACTATGGTGCAGCATATAATACACAGGGGCTTACTCAGTCACCCATAATGCTCCCGCAAGGATGCTGGGAATCCGCCCAGCGGGGATTTCTAATCCCAGCATTCCAAGCAGCGAAGAGTCAGAAAGTGATAACTGAATGAGAAGGATTACATTTAATATGATAAAGAGTAGATACATTTATATAGTCTTGCAGAGACAACCGACCCTTCGAGGGCAACCATAAGGCCGATGCGGCCCAAGAAGAAGCTGAGTTTTCCACCTCTGCTCTAAACATTACACCACACTTGGCCAGCCCTGAATCTATTGATGTACAGTAATTCTGCTTCTCTAAGATGTTGCTAGACAAGGAATCCCCTTATCCCTGACCACTGGGGCTAATGGGAGATGTAGTCCCAGAGCAGCTGGAGGGCCACACCTCCCCCCATTTGTTCTCCTGACTGCTCTGCCTATGCAGGAATTCCCCCCAAGAGTTCAGGCTGCAGAAAAATATTCCCCGTCATCCACCTGCCATCGGACAACAGGAAAGTTACTTTTTGTAGACTACACCTCTCCGGTTCTCCCAAGTCAGCAGGGCTGGAAGATATTACTGGGAGGTGCAGTTCCCCAAAAAAGTGACTTTCCCGAATTCTGGGCTGCCTGAAAGAAAGCTCCTTTTTCGAGGGACAAGGATCCGGAGTCTAAAGAGTTAAAACGAGAGAGAGAGATTTTTGCCAGAGAAGACCGGCACTCTTTCGAGAAGTGGGCGAAGGGCTGTCGGAGGGAGGGAG